GTCTAATTAAATATTTCTTTCTTCTTCATTTACAGCAGAGCAGACGACATGAGACGTACAGGTTATAAAATTTAAAAGCCAAAAGCACCGACATGTAAAGTAGGCGCTGTTAATTTTACAATGGAAAGAAGAGAGGTGCTGCTGTTGAGCAGAAGTAAGAGGAGTGCAGGATGTCATAAAATATGTACGAAGCAGCAGCTTAGCACCGAAACACAAAGCCATTAAAGAAGGAGAATGCAGTCAGAAACATAAACATCCATTTCCTTGTTATTCAGAGAAATACCGGCGCTCCGTTAAAAGCAGCAGCGATCTGCCACAGTTATGGACTCCTGCATTTTAACAGCTCCTGCAGGAACATGCACACTTTAATGTTCCCTGACTTGCAGCTACAAACACTTTCAACGACACAAGTTCCCAAACACAGACCCTTCATGTTGCTCCCTGCTCTTTCCTATGTGCACGTGATGTAAATCATTAAAGGGGTGCATGAGCAAAACCAGAAAGACACTTAAGTTTGACATGGAGCAAAAATTTTTAGCCTTTTGTGATCAAAACAACAGAAAACGTCTTCTGGAGGCAGCTCAGGATGACACAAAGTGCGGCGAATTCACTACCAGCTGGTTCTGAACGCACTCGTCAACAAGCTGCTGCTGCTTTGGATGGACCAGGCTGTTGTTGTTGTTGTTTACAGATGTGGCTGATCCGCACAGGCTTTATTTGTCCAAGAGAGTTGAAAAATTTTTTTTTAAAGTCAACATTTGATCTCAGGAGATTTATCTGTCTGTCTATTTAATAATTGGGCTTTAGGGATTTCTGAGATTGATATATATATTAAATATTTCTTTCTTCTTCATTTACAGCAGAGCAGACGACATAAGACGTACAGGTTATAAAATTTAAAAACCAAAAGCACCGACATGTAAAGTAGGAGCTGTTAATTTTACAATGGAAAGAAGAGAGGTGCTGCTATATATTTTTTTTTTTTTTTTTTTTTTTTTTTTTTTTTTTTTTATTGCACAATGGAGAGAAGTAAAAATTAAATAATTGCCTTCTGGTAAAACTTGACCTTTTCCAAAATCCAACATAGTTAAGTCGGGTGTTCTGGACGGTTCCTTTTTGTTGAGACGTTTCATCTTTCATCCAAAAGACTTCATCAGTCCGAGGAGCCACAACAAACTCAGTCCCACAAGCAGCGCACTCAATGGACCAACAGTTTGATGGTGATAAGATAGTTTCTGGAGTCCGCCCTCTCCCCTGTCCAATAATCTAGGTAAAAAAAATCCACCAAAGTTAAATCAGGTCCTCTGGACAGTTTCTTTGTGTTGAAATGTTTCGTCTTTCATCCAAAAGGTTGGAGAGGGCGGACTCCAGAAACAATATTATCACCATTAAACTGGTTGGCTTACTGTCTCTACAAGTACTTGGGTGTGCACCTGAATGACAACCTCATCTGGAGCAACAACACCACCAGCCTGATCAAGAAAGCTCCTCAGAGACTCTACTTCCTCAGGCGGCTGAGATGAGCTGGTCTGGGAAGCTCAGTCCTCACCTCCTTCTACAGGTGTGCAGTGGAGAGCATCCTGTGCTCCAGCATCAACGTGTGGCATGGAGGCTGCACAGAAGATGTTGGAGTCAGCCTCCTCACCATCACAGACATCTACACCTCCAGATGCAGGAAGAGGGCCACCTGCATCACGAAGGACCCCACTCACCCAGCACACACACTTTTTGCCCTGCTCCCCTCAGGAAGGAGGTTAAGGAGCATTAAGTGTAGAACCACTAGACTGAGGAACAGCTTCTACCCTGAAGCTGTTAAGACTCATGAATCTTTAATCAAGATTATCACTGTGAAAAGAAAATCACTGTAATGCCACTTTGATTGGTGATATGTGCTGCTGATTATCCATGCTGCTGATTATTTCATGCTGCTGTATTCATTCATTTGTACTCACCCACCCACAAAGACTCATGTTCGTGCTGCTGTTTTTCAGTGTATTGTTTTGCATTATTAGTTTTTATTTCTTTTAACGTACAGTTTGTTGAAGGCATATCTTAGAGATTCTTATTTACTGTTTCTTTTTACACGTTATACTGTTGCTGTTGTTGGATGTAACTGGGACCCTGTGGAGACAATTTCGTTCCACCTCTTGTACCACATGTGATGCGAATGACAATAAAGAACCTTGAACTTTGAGTGTGCTACTTGTGGGACTGAGTTTGTTGTGGCTCCTCGGACTGATGAAGTCCTTTGAATGAAAGACGAAAGTTTCAACACAAACAAATCGTCCAGAGAACCCGACTTAATTGTTGGATTTTTACCTGGATGATTGAGCATGAACTTTGATCTTTTTCAAAATCTTACATTTTTCATTTTACTTCTATGAGATTTTCATCTGAGAGCTTCACGGTCACTTTCTTGACTTCAGGGTTGGACGCGACGTGTGTTTGTGTGGGGGAAAACTGCAGTGAAGTTAGAGAACAAACCTCTCACTGGCCTACTTATCTCATTTTATTTGAGTGACTGTGACAAATAAATTATCCAGCAGCATCTCACTTCCTGCCATCTTCACAATCATCACCACCACACCCATGGAGCTCCGTCATCTCCTCTGTCATGCTGAATCAAAGTTCACCCCAACTTCTCTCCATGTGAGCCACAGCTGCACAGAGGCTTTAACTCCAGGCTGCATGCAGCCAAGCTGAGACATCTGAAGTGAATCACAGTAAACATGAAGAGCAGCACAATCAAAGGGTCTTTGTCTGAGGTAGGATGTGAATAGGCTGTATTAGCCTGAAAGAAACATTTTAATTCACCCCAGAGTCCAGTTTGTGTTAAATACTACATGAAAAATAAACCTTCTGCATGCACGTGATAAGAAAAGAGAGCTCCATATTTGCATTTATAACAACCTGGATGCTGCAGGAGAGCTCGGAGTCGTCCAGTAAGCGGATCGTGCAGAGGACCTCCTGGTCCAGGGAGCGGATGCTGGGGCTGCGGAACCGGAGCATTTTCATCCTTGTGTCGGTTCTGGTTCAGCTCCTCTGCGTGTCGGCGGCTCCCAACACAAACCAGACCGTGAAATTCGCGCATCCGCGCCGCATCACACGTGCCCGTCGGGGGTCCTGTCACCCCTTCAGACGCCCTTGGAAATGAGCGGATGGATGAGGAGAGAGATGGATAGATGGTTGGATGAGAGAACGGATGGATGCGACAGAGCTGTAGGGAGGAGGGCTTGAACCTGTCTGCTGCTGGTGTGGATCACTGATTGATTGCCCCTCCCCCCTCCGGTTTTGAGGAAAACCATAATTGGAGTTATAAAACCTAATCTACATAAATGCATGTTATTTCAAACCATCGCGGTATTTAATGTTATTGATTAACCATTAAAGATTGACGAACATTGTGTTTTTTTTCCTCTCTCTCAGACATTTCATACTTACAGTGATTATCATAATGATGACATTTTTTATGTTAAATGTATTTTTATAAAGTGATTTAAAAGCCTTTCAGGTCGAAACACATCTTAAATTGGGTTATTTGTCATCAATATGACGTCAGAGACAGTTTGGATGCAACCGGAATGCTCTGATGTAACAGGAGTTTGGCAGACCAATGTAGCATATAATCAATCAAGAATATAGGGTACTTTGCGTTTCTGTCAGAAATCAGTCTTGTCAAAATGACGTTTACTAAAACTACAATTGAAAATATCAAAAATACAGCCATGAAAATAAAAAGTTAATTTTAAGTTTTTGCAAATACAACAATCTACATTTAGAAAGTTGTAAAGGTTTACAAAAACGTAAGTGACCTTTCTATTATGGAAAAAAGAACAACAAAAAGAACATCTCAAATATTTGGAAAAGCTTACTTTGTTTCCACATTTAACTTTTTTTTTATTATTTAAAGTTTTACTTTATTTAACAGAAATCTATGTTCCTCACATGACTTTCAGCTCTAGGTGCACACAAAGTTCTCCTTATTCATAATAAACATTGTGGAAAATAATTTTTTAAAGGAAAAAATAATTTCAGATATCTACAATTATTTTTTTTAAGTATTTTTTAAAGTAGTATTAGATTTTAAAATTTTGAAATAACAGTATATTTTTGCAATTTATTATTGTAAAAACTGACGTCTGAAACTGCGGAGCCTTTCTTAGTGTTATACAAACAAAATAATAAGCAATAAGATAAAACCAATCATGTTCTGCTGAAACTGCTTCCAAGCTCCTTGATGCAGAATCAATTTAATATTTTCAAAGAGAAAATCCATAGTGTAAATTACTGGAGGAGGGAAAAATCCAGCTCTATTTGAATAACAAATGAGCTAGTTATAATTTTTCCCTATCAAAATGTAATACAAGTACAACGACCCTAATTCCTCCCAGACATTGTTAGCTAATTAATTTAATTGAATCCACTTTAAACAACTGTTTCTGAACTTAAAAAAAAAAAAGTTTACATTGTCTCATTGGAAAAGACGCTGGACAATTATTATTCATTCATTCAACCTTTATTTATACAGGTTAATCCCTTTGAGCCTCCGGGACACAAGAGAGACCTGATTTTAACAAAGAGTGATGACAACAGTAGACAACAAAGACAACAGTAGACAATCATAAAAAGCATACAAATTGAGAAAAATAAATAAAAGAAAATTGTATTTAAAAAAGAAACAAAAACAGCTAGCTTTATACCTGTACCTTTATACCTAACAGCTTTATCCTGAGCATGCATCAGGATAAAAAACAGCTAGGTTTTAAAGTGATAGAATGTAAAGCGATATATTATATTTTCGAGTTCTTACGTGACAGAGTACAAACCCAAAATGTTAATGCTTTGTAAAAATAAATAAATAATATATATTTAATATTTGGGGGAAACGTGATTTCCTAAATTTGAAGGGCCTGTGTAATTATTAAATGATAAATCGGCTTACCTTACATCGCCGTCACTGAAACGACGTAAGTATTTAGACGTAAGCGACGTGCGTCATCACGTCGCATAAACAACGACCGCCATAGCTTGTCACGGCTGTTCGGATTGATGCATGGAGATTTATCGCTCCTGTTGAACACTCCTGGCAGGTCGTACAGACTCGGTGTTTGTTTTGTGAATGTTTTAAGTGTTTTATTCATTAAATCATGCTGGTTGACAGCAGAGTTGAGCTCACTGTCCTGCTATCGGTACCTTCATTTACTGAACTACAAGCTGTTTTTCAATGTCATCAATAAAGTTTTTTCAAAATTACATTCAAGTTGTTGAAGGGACTTCACTGTTAGATGATTGGCTGAAAAATATTGAGCAGGTGATTTTAATTTAAGTAATGTTCATGATTATTTCAGTGATGTCATGTTAGAGTTTCTGCTACTAAAAATATGACTTTTACTATATATATATATATATATATATATATATATATATATATATATATATATATATATATATGTATATGTGTGTGTATGTATAAACATTTTATTTTTCTGAAAACCAAAAATCAGTCAAAAGCTTGTTAATCCAGCAGGAAAACAAACATCAGTTGCAGTGCAATCAGTCTAAAAGTGTTTTTACCTCGGTGACTTTTTAAAAATAAATAAAAACCTATCATGCCTGTCTTCCTTTGTTGTGGTGGCTCACTGATAGATACAGACGTACCTTTAAAATGTGCATATTTACAGGGGGGGCATAAAACGACTTCTACTTTGACATAAAATATGTTAATAATTACCTAACATGTTCTAACCAAACTGTACTTGACAGCAAAGTTCATGTTCACTAATCCAGGTCTAAAATCCAACAACGTTCAGGTCATCTGGTTGGTTTCTTTTTTGTACTTGACAGGCTTGGCTAATGATTAGTTTACCTAAAATCTTACCATACAAAGAGGCAAATTTATTTAATTACTGTGGTAGTACTAAAACCTTTTTTTTGTTTGTTTTGTTATGTTTTTATGAGGATATACATTGATTTAGGTAACATTAAAAACTTTAATCATGCTTTCACTTCTGTGGTATAGATCCTAAACCTTTCCTCCACCCTTCAAAACACTATATATTTATATATATTCTTTGTCATTTCTTTCTAGACCTGCACTGAGGAGTCAGACCTTTCACAGACGAGATGATCTACATTATAATGGGAGTCTCTGGCTCTGGAAAGTATGTACACTGTCTGATTTACTAAAAAGCCTCTATGTTAAATTTTATACATAATTTTGTCTCTAACCCTAACTCCCTTAGAAAGAGAAAATATTTTAGAGATCAGATGTATTTATTTATTCACTTCTATCTAATCTCAAATTCATATTTTTGTTAATTTTGGGATTTTTTTTTGTTTGATTTCTATTTTTTTTTTAAATACAGAACAAGTTTAGGAACGTTTCTCTCTGAAAAGGTATAGTCTTACACACATACACACTCACCCCGTCATATCTGTACCCTGCTGGTTTCTGACCCGTCTGTGTGCTACTCCTCAGCTGGGCTGGCCTTTCTACGAGGGCGATAACTTCCACCCTCAGGAGAACATTGAGAAAATGTCTCGAGGTGAACCGCTCACAGACCAGGTCAGCACATGAGTGGTTCTGCACCTTTCTTTACGTTTTATATAGTTTTCGTTGACTCCACAAACTATGATCTGAGAAGGCCTGAAAGCTCTGTGTGGATCTCATTTGTCAAATTGACCTTTTTGAGGTTTGGCTTCAGGGTGGAAGAAAGCATCAGGTCAGTGTGTTTGTGTGCCACTGGTTTATCTGCTCCAGTGTCATGTCGCTCATTTATAAACTCAAAAGGGGAGCTTCACTTGAGCAGACCGTTTGATACTCGTGCCAGACCACAGTTCTACTATTCATTTCTCTTTTGTTTGTTCAATGTTTATCTTTTCTATCTTGTCGTCAGCTTTTAGTACAACGGGAACCCTTTAAACAATCGTCTGGCTGCCTGCCAGGGTGGAGCGTAGAGGCCTACAGGCGGTGAAGGCCTGCCAACGTTTGGCAGCGTGTCGTTGGAAGCTGTGTTTGGTAGCAGATGATAACCTCCCACTCAGACGTTCCCTCTGAGGAGACACAACTCTGTTCAACACTCTGGCATATTTTAAAGACAGCCAACAGTTGGCAATTTGAGATTAAACGATCACGCAAAGAAGAAATGTAAATAAAGGATTTCTGTCAGACTTTAGAAGAAAAAAACATGCCCGTCATGGGTTGGCAGGATGAGCCTGGTGTAAAGGAGGAAGAGATGAGTGCTCAGAATCCTCGATGTAAGAGTGACTCAGAAATGTGTAAACTAAAATGAACTGTTTGTCAGATCAGTCATCAAAGCTGGGATTCTCTTTCCACATATGTCTACCTGATCTCTGATTGACGGGAAAATGGCTGTAACTCAGCTCATTTGAATGATCTTGAATAAAGGTTTGGTGTTGTAGCATCCGTCTCTGAGCTCCAGCAGGTCATACACAAGATCTTTGTGTCAAACTTTTGCCATGCGAGGCAGCGAGCGATATGCATTCCTTCAAGGAGAACAAGTTCTAACGGGTTTGCTTGCATCCACTCTTCTGTAATCCAAAGATTATCATCCGTGACGTAGGAGTTGTTAATCCTGCACATCCGGACCGCAGATATTTGTTTCTAAATTCCCCTGAATCTTGAAACAAAAAGTGATCATTTTAATCTCTCAGATATGATTGTTTAATACTCGTGCTCAAACTGTGTTTTAGTTTATTTGAACCATAAACTGCATAAGAGCAAACATTTTTGCTTATTTTTCTTCTGCTACATGTTTATTTGCTGGTTTTATTTTGTCTTGGTGCCACCTTTAGAACTTTATTGTTATTATAACTCAGATAAAATGTTTAAGATTGAGAAGTCTTGTTAACCAACATTTTATTTTCATGTTGTTTTTTTTACAAACAAGTAACAATGCTTTTATTTGTTTGGCACATTTTGTGATGCAAAACCTTAAGAAAAATTAAATAAATAAAGATAGAAATTGGCATCCTATGGAGGTCAGGAGGAGATTCATGTGGTCAGCTCCAGTTTATATATATCTGATTTTATATATATATATCAGTTATATTACATTTCTATCAAATCAAGATACTCAAAGCACTTTACAACACAATCTGTGCCCTCATTTACCTCCACACACATTCATACAGCGCTCTACTACTAGATCTCTACAAAGACTAATCCCTGCTTTAGATCATATTCATGCACTGATGGGACACACATCAGAGGCATGAGGGGTTCAGTGTCTTGCCCAGGGACACTTCAACATGTGATTGCATAGTGGTGGAATTGAACCCCCAACTCTCCCATTGGAGGACGACTGCTCTCAGCCACAGCTGCCCCGGGCTACCACGGTGGTGCCCGCTACACATTTATTTTTATTTTTATTTATTGGGGAGTGGTGGCGCAGAGGTTAGAGAGGTGGGCTTGTGATCCGAAGATCGCCGGTTCACGCCCCGGCCCCGACAACATCAAAAAAATTGTGGGTGGGGTAGGTGAAACACCCACACTTGCCCCCACCCTCATTCGCCCCACTCTGGGCCCATGAGCAAGGCCCTTAACCCCCACCATGTGCTCCCTAAACAGGTCTCTCTTGAAAATGAGTTCTCGTGGCTCAATGAGACTAACCTGGATAAATAAAGGCTAAATGAAAAAAAAAAAAAAAATTTATAATGTCAAAAATATATCATTTTGACATAAGGTAAACTTGAAAAGTAACTTTTTTTTTTTTTAATTATATGAACACCCCTGAAAACCCAACTTATAACTTCAGTCAGGGTGTTTAAAATAGTCATCAGAATGCAGCCTCCGTAGGAGAAGACCTACCTTTATTTTTATTTTTTTTAACCAAATTAAGGCAAGAAAATGACTAAAAACCATGATAATTGTCTTTTCAGGACAGATTCCCCTGGCTTCTCAAACTGTATGAGATTATTGAGAGGTGAGAATAAACCAAACTCACATTTTCTTGTTTCTTCACTTCTGAGAATAAAACACTGACTGAACATTTATTTTCTGAGGATTTCATCCAACATTAGCCATATTCTTAAATTAAGTCTGAATTTATGCTCTCTGCTGTTTTCTGTCCCCATTACAAATGTGTACTTGTAAGAACATTTATACTGATTCAAGTAAGAGGTAAGAATGTGTTTGTGTGAAATTGTTAAAAAGATCAAAAAGCATAAAAAAAAAGGTTTTGAAAATGGAGATGAAAACTATAACGGCAGGAAAAGGAGTTTAGGGGAGAAAAGAGATTAAGTGGGTGAGGAGGTGGAGAATAACTGAGAAAGATGTCAGAAAGTGTGTGTTTTATTTTTTTAAGGAACATCAGAGTATTTCCTCCACATTCAAGTTCTCTTCTTCACTTGTTCTTGTGCTGGTTTCTTCCACTGCCTTCATGTCTTTAACTTCTTGCAACAAAACAAAAACATGTCCGAGGACAGTTCTTAGGCTAGTCCTCATTATTTTTTTGTCTGTCCATCTCAGGGAAAGGTCTTCAGGCTGCGATGCTCTGATGGCGTGCTCGGCTCTGAAGCGTCAGTACAGGCAGGTTCTCCTCCACGGCTCCTCGGCCCTCGCTGCTGCTTCCTGTCCACACCAAAACATCTCGCCTCCCACTCCTGCTGACATATTTTTCCTCTACCTGCACGGTGACTATGATTTCATTTACCAGAGGATGGTGGCCAGGAAGGGACATTACATGAAAGCAGACCTGCTGCGCTCTCAGTTTGACATATTGGAGCCTCCTTCAGACGAGGAGAACGTGCTGCCTCTGGACATCAGGAAGAGCGTAGCTGATTTGGCGCTGGAGGTGGAAAATCACGTTCTCAGCCTGAAGATGTCACCACGGCAGCGAGATGAGAAGGCAGCTGTTTGACTTGTGGTCATTTAACACAATCGATGCCCACTCTGACAGCTGTTCATCATCCAGATGTTTACTGCAGTGCCTTGAAGAGATCAGCTTTAAACCCAGACTTAGTGTTTTTGTACGTCATACATTTTTGCAGATCCACTCTGCTCTAAATGGATTTTAAACATCCATAAGCTCCTCACGCTTTGCTTCCAAGTTGTCAGACTTGTATTCTTCAAAAATAGACTCGACCAGTATTTCTTTCCAAATGTTTCAAGTGTTTGTCCTACAGCATGACAGCTTTTTGTGCAGTGTGTATCAAAAACAAAAAAAAGAGGAAAATGGACAAGAGATGAGACGTGCGTTATCAAAAAGGTGTGTTTTTAAGAAAAGAGAACAACAAGATTCAACAAAAGAAATTAGAATAAATTGTGGTGCAAAAAGACTAAAGCAAATTCTGAAAAATATTTTAGGTTAATTTGTTACGTGTCGACACCAAACCGTTCGGTTGTTTGAGTTTAGGAGCCTTTTGATGCCTGAATGATTTATGAATTAAATGGCTTAGCAAACATTTCCTCTGAAAATGTTCCAGTATTGGAACAAAATGGGAGAAAAAGCAGAAGGAGAAAAAAAATATATATCAAAAAGCTTGAAGTATTGTTCATAACCATTTTTAAAATGCTGGTAAAATCTAAGATACTTTAAGATCAGATACTTGGAGTTTGGTCATTTTCATCTGACACTGATTTCTAATTTGCTTGTGTTTAATTCAGAGCTTTTTAGTGGCACTGGCACAAAAAGAAGCACAATTATTATTATTATTATTATTATTGCTTCAAAGTAAACACCTGAACTGTGCAAATGAAACCTGGGTGAAGATGAAAAGGAAATCATTTGAGCTTGTGCAGTTAGAAGTTTTCTCATATGTATTCAGTGAAAAACAGAAGCTGCGTGAACCTTTAGTTGTTGCTTGTCAGTTCAGAAAAGTTAGAATAATTGACGGACATCACGAGGCGTACGTGTTTCTGCTTTTTTTCATTTTATCCAGACATTTTCTGTATAATGTCAAACCTGGTTGGGACCAGAGTCTGGTCCTGGTCACTTAGTTTAGGGGTTGTTTGAATAACGGTATTGCAGCTCCCTCTTCAGATATCATCAGTAGACGGGCCATAAGTCTTTACACAAGGTTTGTTTTAGTCTTATCACAATTAGTAAAGGAGCAAAAAACCATTTGATTTGATTCAGTGACTCGTTTCTTGGAGTGCGTCTCAGCTGTTTGTGACAGTTTCTCAAAATGTTCCTTGATAACCTTCTAACTGTTGTCTTTTTTTAAAAGTGCATTTCAAATAAATATCAAGAAACTGCAAATTATGTGTTTACTCAATTTGTTGAAGCATATTTTATGCACTAGCATAAACTGTGCGAGCTTTGCGCTGAACAAAGTGAAACGATTAGATGAAAGTTCAGCACCGTGAGGCGGGTCGGACCGAGTCCAATCTCTCTGCCTCTTCAGAAGAAATGCACACGTCTGCTTCTGACCGAAAGCTGTTTTTATACTGTGACTCATCTTCAAACCTCAACCAGAATTTTCTCAGTGCTTCTAATCCAGAATTCCCCCCTTCAGCTACTCCCGTATCTCACACACCCAGTCCCACTCAGACTCTGCTGGAGGTTCAACCCCCTCAGTCTGGCATCATCAAACAAACCAAGTTGTCAAATGAAAATCATGCAGCTGAGTTTAGTTGGGATCAGAACAGCGTGACCCGTTCGTACAAAAGAACAACCAGCTGTTTGCAGTTTAACGGTCAGTGAACGATGTTTCAGTTCAGTTGATGTATGTAGCGCCAAGTCACAACAGAAGTCGTCTCAGGGCACTGAACAGAAACATTCATACACATAAAAATCAGTAACATTATTTATCGAAGGAAGCCAGCAGACACATCGAGTCTTCATTTTGCCGCTGTCTCCCATCCTGAGCAAGCACAAAGGAGACTGTGGAAAGGAAAAACTCCCTTTTAACAGGAAGAAACCTCCAGCAGAACCAGTAGGCTCAGGACGAGTGGCCATCTGCTTCGACTGGCTGGGTTTGAGAGGACAGGAAGGAGGAACAGATACACAATGGCTGGTTGAGCATCACATGTTAAGATAGAAATAATATCAAATGAAAACTATTCAACTGTAACAATATTTAAAGCACATTTTAAGAAAAGGGGTCACTTTTTCCTACAGTAGTCGAAGCTTAAGGCAGCATAACAAGCCAACCCAAATTATAGGATTTATCAAATAGTCTTAACCCCAATCTTAAAACTGGACAATGTGTCAGCCTCACAGACAGAAACTGGAAGTTGGTTCCACAAGAGAGGAGCCTGAGAACTGAAAGATCTTCCTCCCATTCTGCTTTTGGAAACTCTAGGGACCACAAGTAAACCTGCAGTCTGAGAGCGAAGTGCTCTGTTGGGAAAATATGGAACAATAAGATCTCAAATATAAGATGGATCTAGGGTGTTGAGGGCTTTGTAGATTAGAAGTAAGATTTTAAATTCTATTCTGAATTCGACAGATGAGGGCTTGAAAGTGCTGATTTCTGACTCATAATAAAAGTAAATGTACTGTGTGTTTTTTTGGTTTAAATCTCAGACAACATCAGCTTGAACAGCTTCATTTACAAATAATCTGGCATTTTTTAAATCACCAGTTAATCAAACAGTAAAGTTTTGGGTGTAAAAGGAAGCAGGACATTTGGAGAAAACTCACCAAGGGTTTTATCTGCACTGAAAACCTAATTTTCTTTTTTTGTAGTTTTGCTGACTGACTAAAATGTGCAACCTAAAATAAAACCATACATTTTTTTAAACATTAATTTAAATCAGGCCCAAATTCCTGGTCAGTTAACACTTTTTGTAAACAAACAAACAAACAAACAACAACAACAACAACAACAACAACAACAACAACAACAAAACAACATTAAAACAAAGCCAAAGCAAATAGCAGAAAGAGCAATCTTTGTTTTTATTTACATCCATAGAGTTTACATGTCAATCATGACATTTTTAAAATGTAAAATGTGTCATTTTTACACAATGACACTCTTGCATATAAGCTTATTTTAGGACATTAAATTTAGTTTGTTTGGTACATTTTAACATGTTAAACTTCTAAATCCTACCTGGGGTTGAGCCCAGAAACTTCATGTTGAAAGGCAACAACCAGCTGTGCCACCGTGCGACCCCCTCGTCTAAATCAGTGCTTCCCACATTTTTAAACCTGGGACCCACAAACTGACAGAGAGCAGAAGCTGCAACACTGACCATGACCCTTGTGCAGCATTTATAAATACAAAAATGCTATCTCCAAACTTTTACTTAGATTTTTGGAGCTAATTTAGGTCTCCTGCTGTTTCAACCCACAAGGACTGGGGGGTGGGGGGGGGGGTGTCCTGACCTAAACTTTGAGAACAAAGTTTGTTCTTCATCTTAGCAGAAGCAAATTGTTTACTTAAAAAAAAAAACATATAGATCTCTGATATATTTTGTCAGATTCTTTATTCCTATTGTCAATTTAATGTTCTATAAACAGCTGATGTCTTGTAAAGTTTACTACATGTTGGTAATTTGGAACATTTGTAATGGTATTACCACTGAAAGGTGAACTGTAAAACTGGAGGATTTATGCCTGAAGAGGATTCAACACTCTGGACAGACACACAAACTAGGAACAGAAAATGAGATGGTTTTGAAAGAACTGTGTATTAAATGTGTCTGACAAGTCCATGATTTGTTTCTGTACAGTTTTTTTTTTTATCACTGATTCAAATCATTTCTCACGGTTGTGTCAGAGTGTGTGAACTCATACTTTGTGTGTGTGAGAGCCTGAGCACATATTATACAGAAGTACATGTCCTGACGAGTCCTTAAAGGTTTGTCCGTCTGTCTCTGAGACCCACTGAGTCCAGCTCCTCCTGGATCTCCTCCTCCTCCTCCTCATGACAAAGCTGAAGTGAAAGTTTGAAAAGTCAAGCTTAATGGAATAACATGACGATTACTATAGAGATGTCATGTCTGAGCGGTGAATACTTGCATCATTTATACATGCAATGTATTAATTCTCTTAAAACAGACAAAGTGATCAACCAGATGGACATGTTCCCAAAAACCATCTGTAGAAGACCCTGTTCAGTTAGGCTGAATATCAGGATGTTTGACTGCATCATTTATCTGAATCCTATTTGACCACATTGATCAAATACAGTACTGAAGGATACACGGAGTAACAAAACTACAACACAAAAGAAGGGAAACCTGTTGCACTGGTTTCTGTGGACAAAAGACCACTGACACCACCACAACTCAACGTGTCTCCTTCTATTAAAACAACCGAGAAGTTTAAAAGGAAACACAGAGGTACCTGATTGTCAGTGCCAGCCAGTGCCTGCAGCAACTGATGCACAAACTGCTGCTGCTGCTGCTGCTCTGTCGCCGTGGCAACCTGAGGACTGCATCCTGACTGGCTGTTCAGAGCAGCGTCATGCTTAGGAGCAGCATTAAAACTGGCACCACTGGGTCCAAGCCCGGCACTGCAGGACAGACAGGTGTCAGTAAATATTTTAGTCAGTGACACCAGATTCAAGTGAAAGTTTCCTGTGCTCACACGGGTAAGAGGGAGGGAGCCTCTGCAGCCAGAGTCTGCAGACCCTGTTGGATCTGTAGCAGAGCCTCCATGGCTCTGGGGTTCAACATGACCGACAGAAGCTCCGGACCCTGCATCTGTTATTGATAAATAATGAATCAGATTTTCATGATACTCACCCAGCTGTGGACACAATGCAGCAAATCACATCTGCTGCAGCTGCATTATGTGTCTGCAAACTGGTCCTGTCACATAACTCCCATAACACATAATTATTTGTTTAACGTAAAGACTGACAGATGTTTAAAAGAGCACTATTCAGAGTGCTGTTTAAAACAGAAAACTGCTTGAGTGAATGCCCAGACCTGTTGCAGGAGGAGAGGGATTTGTTGTCTTATTTGCTGCTGCAGCTCAGCATTTCCTGAGAACAAGGGATGGCTCAGCAGCATCTGGAAAAAAAAAAGAACGGAAGAAAGTCAGCAGATTTCAGTTCTGTCTGTTGCTTCAGTGAACATGGGAATTATTTGCTGATCATTTGCTGAGAGTAAAAAGGGGTCTGTAGGCTCAATCATCCAGGTAGATAACAACAAAAAAGGTTAAATCTTGTCTTCTGGACCAGTTTCTTTAAGGGACAAATGTTTCGTCTTCCATCCAGAAGACTTCCTCAGTCTTTGGCCTGCCAACCAGATCTGTCCCATAGGTAGCCTTCATTGCTGTGTTTCAAGCCAACTTCCTGTTGGAATCTCAGAAGCAGGTTTGTAACATATGCAAAAGGACCCATATGTCCAAAACAATCAATCATCATGTATAACAAATGTTTTAGACCAGATGGCCAACATGCCACTCACAGGAATAGCTTGAGGACACCAAGACCAAAATGGTTCAGAAAAAAGGGTTTGTAGGCTCATTCATCCAGGTAGATAACAACAAAATGTTGCTCTCAGCATGTTGTTGGAGTTTTCAAAAATGTTCAATACAAAAAATCACATCTAGAATTCTAGAATCTAGAATCATGTTCTAGAATTGCGCCGCTCAAGTTGGCTGCATGTTGGAGCAGCTCTGTTACACTCATTCTGAGTTATTGCTTTTGGAAACTTTAATTCCTCTTTTTCTGGATGCAAATCACTTTTTTCGGATGATTATTTCCTCTGGTATCGGATGCTGTGCAGCTGGAAGGATTTTATCTGAAACCATTTTTACTTTGGGGCATTTGTTATGATGCGTAACCATGGCAACAAGGTGTTTTTTAACAACCAGGAACAGCTGATTAACATCTCAAAAGCTGAAATACCTCAACTACAGCATCAAATCCCAAATGAGTTGAAAAAAAGGCTCCGTGGACAAATTCCTGTCAACCTGACGGCGGTGCTCGAGTGCCTGACTGCAGAGATTCTGAAGCTGGTGGGAAACTCAACTCGTGACATCAGGAGGACCGGGATCTTCCTCTGGCACCTTCAGCTGTCTGTCTGTGGCAATGAGGAGCTCTGCAGACTGCTGGGAAGAGTGATCATCGCTCAGGGAGGAATTCTGTCCAGCATTCGGGCAGTCCTGCTGCCCAGGAGGACCAAGAGGCCTGCTGGATCTGACAGCAAGCTGGATCTGGGTGCACGGATCAGTATCTGTGGCCAGATCCTTCAGATTCACTGCAGGAGATCCTTCCTTCCCACAGCTATGAGCATCTAACAACTCTTGAATGAAACCAGGATGATGAGCTATGACAACACTTAATTTCCCTCTGGGATTAATAAAGTATTTTTGAATTGAATTTAATTGAATTGAATCCTGGATGAATCTTCACCAGCATGTTGTTGGAGCAGCATGCAGAAATTTGGTGACATCTACTGGTGAGACTGAAAATGGCAATAAGAATAAAACGAACCAGGTGAACTTTGATTTAATAATAATAATAATAATAATAAACTGCAAAATGATTTAGCTACAGTGGATTGGATTGTTCATTTTTCTACTGATTTAACAGCATGACTTTGCTTCTTCATATAAAAATAAAAAACAAACAGAGCCAGCAAATCAACCAGCAGAAATAAAAGCACATGTCATAGCTATATGGAACGAAACAGCAAAGAAACAACAAAAAAAAATACTGTAATTAAGATCTCCACCCACAATGTTTCTGTGTGCATCACCTGAGCAGCAACGTCAGGGTTCTGGCTCAGGCACTTCAGAAGACTGCTGACATATGGACCTGACAGCAGACTCTCCATCAGACCAGGACAGGCTGTGATCTCCTCCAGGAGTGAATGCATACCTGAAGGAACCACGTTGTGGATCAGAAAATATAGAAATGCTGCATATTCAATTAATACCATTATAAAAAACTCATTTGGATTAAGGACTGTTTTTCCTCTCATAAATCATCTGCACTTGTTTTTTTGCATGTGAGCTTTTTGTCGTTAATAAGTTGTATAATTTAATTGTGTATGTTTGCATTTTTTGCCTGCAGTAGTTCTTTGTGAGCTTGAACCGGCTCTGGGAGTGGCAATCAGTCCTCTGAGGGGATCTGTGGAGTCACTGGAGAGGACCGGTGTGGAGACTCTTTGTCCTTGTGATGTCTGCTGATTTACAGATTGTCACAATTGGAAGCATCTTTCTCTAAAGGACATCTCAAAAACTGGTTAAATACACAAGTTTCAAACGACTCATTTCACATCTTCACCTGTTTAAGACCAGGTTGTTGTATTTTTGTGCCATCGTCAGTAGCAGCCGTGGTGCTCTCAGAGTTGTTCTCCTGAAACAAACGGTCTAAATCTCCGTCTTCGTTTCGCATCATTTCATCTATTATGTCAGGTTTCCTGATGATCTCCAGCATCTGGACACGAAAGAGAGGTAGCAGAAACGTTTTAGGCACAACAAAATGTAAATTTCCTTTTCATCGCACAATTATTTAGTCACTTTTAAAACACCAAAATGACACAATCCAACTTTTGCGACTTGTGTGTAAAATATTGCCATTACTAAACGTGCCAGTCACACAGTGGGAGCTCACACTCGTACCTGGTTTGTGATGTCTGTGTTGCTCAGCATCTCTTCCACCTCAGGGTGTGCTTGCAGGAGATGCTGAATTAGAGGGTTAGGCAGAATAAGCTGCCTTGTTAGACGAGGACTAGTTGTGGAGAGGACGTTCTGCACCAAGGAGCTGCGCAGGACACCGTGCAACATCTCCGGGTCACCCAGAAGCTGTCTTGCCATCTCATGCTGGAGTGCAGGGAAGAAGCCCGGACTGCTGTTTTCCAAGTCAAGATTTTCTAAACCCTCCACTGAAACAAGAAGGGCTGAGGTGACTAGGGAACGTAAACATATCATTGAACAAACATCTGTTTTTAGCTCTTCTTACCCAGACAGAGTGGAGAAGTGGGAGTCTGTGTTAAGTTTTCATCAACGTTGGGAACATCGGAGAGCTCTGATTTGACCGTTTCTGAAGCTGGACCATCTGGAGGCTGAACAGATGTAGGCTGAGGTCTGTGGAAGACCAGATTTAAAACCAGATTACCTCCTGCTGTGCTAACAAGTGAAAGTTTGGATACCTGACTTCAAACACTCAGAGTTTTATTCATGTAGGATGTGAGGCAGAAACTGACCTCTTCCAATAATTCTCTATAAACGAGCTGGTGTTACTGGTTTACAGTGGCCTGAAGTTCAGACTTTAGATTTTTATCATAAACACGTCAGATGAGCATTGAGTCACATCCATACTGTGAACCTTAAATTATTTGTTTTAAACTGATGAACTTGAAGCTCATCCCACTCTGGAAACACTTTTAAAATATTTTACTTTGCTCTGAAACTAATAAATGAAAACTGGTTCATTCTGTCTTAGTTCAAACATTTTCAAATACAAACTATAAACATAAACTACAAGGATGAATTACAGAGTTTAAAATAAAGTAAATTTTAATTTGAATAGTTTTTTTTTTCTATGCGTGTGTGTGTGTGTGTACATGCACAACACTGCTGATGATCCTGAGCACCAGATCTGTCTGTCAGAATAAATAATTTCTCCTACGCTGCAAATATTTTGGAAAAAAATGTCATTTTATAAACATTTTATGAACGGAAAGTTCAGCTGCATGAAACAAAGATTAATAACTCAAAAGATCTTGCTATGATTTGGACGTTGATCAGAGACCTTATTTATATATCCATCCATCCATTATCTTTACCCACTTATTCCATTTTGGGTCACGGGGGTCACCGGTGCCCATGTCCAGCAATCACTGTGCGAGGGGTGGGGTACACCCTGGACGGGTCTCCACTCCAGTCCATCATAGGGACACATAGAGCCAAACAAGACAAACAACCATTTACTCTCTCACTCACACCTAGGGACAATTTAGAGTTACCAATCAGCCTAACATGCATGTTTTTGGTCTGTGGGAGGAAACTGGAGCACCTGGAGAAAACCCACGCATGCACGGAGAGAACATGCAAACTCCACCGAGAAAGGCCCCCAGACCGGGGTTTGAACCAGGGACCTGCTCGCTGAGAGGCAGCAGCTCTACCAGTTGCGCCACCA